GCCTTGTTCGTTTTCTCGTTTCTCCTCTTTCTCGTCGATCCTCTCTCTCTTCTTGTTCTTTCTATTTTTCTTTTATTCAAACCGTCTTTCTTTTACCCTAATTAGCATATAATTAAGAATAATAGATGGCAATAATAACCCACTAATTTACTCAAGGTTACCTCTTTTAGCCCCCAAGTAATTGAGTTATTAATATTAAACCACTAACTTTATAATTATAAGCCGGAATAGTCAAAAACGTCCCTTAAAACATTAAAAAAATCCAACTCCGCCTGGGATTACGCAGCCTGTGACGGCCCGTCGCGCCTGCGACGGTCCGTCCTGCTGCTCCGTCACAGAGTTCAGAGACTGAAATTTACTGAAGAGTCTGTGATGGCCCGTCATTCCTATGACGGTCCGTCCTGTCATTCCATTACGAAGTTCAGAGAGTTGATTTCAGTACCCATTTTTCAGAATTTCTAAGTGTTTTGAAACGAGACCCCCTCGACGGTCCGTCGTGCCCATGACGGTCCGTCGTGCCCATGACGGTCCGTCGTGGGTTCCGTCGTCTCAGCCTGTTTTTCCAGAAATAAAATCTGCCGCTCAAAACGACTAAACAGGTCGTTACACACACCTCATCACTACCTCGTGGAGGTAGAGAGACTATTTATGAGAGACTTTCAGTTCAAAACAATAAATATCGATATAAAGAAGGAGGAGACAATGAAGAGAAATATAGCAAATAATAATGAAATATTGACAACGTGTACCAAAGAAAACCAAAACAACAATAAAGCATATAATAGTTGAAACACCATAAATAACATACAAGGATAAATTATAAAAAATTATTATAGACAATGATAGTACATCCGCCTCAACATACTTATGATAGAATATCTTCTTTTTTAATCTTTATCTCTCGTACTATGATTACAATTTCACCTCAAATATCTTCATCTTCATAACATGCATCTTTTGGTCTTGAGAGTTCTTGATTGGATAACACTCAGTCACATAGTCGAACAAACCATCACTCTATAAAACTTACATTTGAGTTTCGATAGTACCTTTTTATCATAGAAGACTCTAGAGGCAAGTCTACACTTCATCCACGTTGCACCAATACGGTGTGTGATATTGTCATTGATGTTTCCATTCCCTTGAATGTCACGATCGAGGAGTACTCCCTAGATGTAACACGACGTACAAGACTTCGAAAAGCCTTATATAAGCTTCATAGCCACAACAACAAATTTAATTATCAGGGACAAATAACTTCGTCATTTATAAATCATATTTCGTCACTAAAAATTTTGCGAGACAAAAAATAATTGTCACGCAATCGTCACTAAATGTGTGTTGCTAAATGTATACAAAGATGATTTAGTGTTTCGTCGCTAGTATTACATTAACTACACTAATAATTGTATATTCACATGCAAATACATATTTCTTCGTCCTATACACTTATAATTATACAATACAAATATTCCCCTACCCAATTTCTTTTTTGTCTTTCTCTCTTTCCCGTTTTATATATAAACAAATTATATAATTAATCTTTTGTATATGTATAGCGAATTATACTATTGGTTTCTTTGTAAAAGTATAGCGAATTTATACAACTATTGTTTTGTATATGTATAGCAAAATAAGCATATTTATGTTTGCTATGGAGTGAAATTATGCAAAGTATAGTTATAGCATACAAATAACTCTTAATATAATTAAAAGTTATTAATAATGTGATTTTTATAGAAATTAACAATAAAAGTTCATCACAACTTAATCAAAAAAATATTACGAACAATTTAATCACTCAACACTTATTTATTTATAATATTTTATTATTTGTATGCAAGTTACAAATTGTACTACTTATTATAAATATAAATATAAATACTAAAGCATAACGTTTCATTGCATATTCAAGTTAATTTTCGTCTCCTCATTCCAAAATTAGATAGTTTTGCTTTATTAAAAAATTCTTTTTTGCACTTCCGTCTTTAGCTCTTCTCTAACTAATCCAATGGTGAGATTTTTGACGTGCTAATTATAAGTTTGTTTCTTGAATACTGTTTTTATGTATTTTAAGATGTGGATAAAAATACTTGTTGGTCCAGTCGGAGGCTAAATGATGTAACATTATGAAAAAATACAAAATAGAGGTAAGAATATCTTTTGGGGTATTGTTTTAGGAATAATGTAGTTGAATCTCTTTTATTCAGCTTGAACGTTAATGATTTTGACTTGCTGATAGATGACGATAACGTCATACACATAGGAGTTTACCCTCAAAGATCTAGAGAAGAAAATGGAATATGTATACATTGTTACTACTCATTTAGTATATTGCAGGCATATAATTTTAGTGTGAATTTAAATATAATACTATTTTTTTAATAGACGTAAAATGACTATTTTAGATTGTAGGAGATATTGTACTACATTACATTGGATTTCAGGTACTTATCATAAAGAAAGAGAGTCTATAATTAACCTTATAGTAGACTCTTCTGCTTAAAAAATAAAAATTTAACCGTTCACATTCTTACGAATTATAAGGACTCACATTTAATATGAATTTTTATATAAAATTTTTCTTAAAAAGGAGTGATAAATAGGATAATTATGCTCCATTTCTTCACACTCCCAACTTCACAATAATCACATAAATGTGACGTATTTACTTAAGTATACAATATCATCCGTTTCTCCTAGAATAGTAAGAATATGATACTGAGGTTGATATTTATTTTCTTCCATATAAATAATTATTTTTTAATATATGTCATAATGGTTAAAATGTTGATTTAGGATACTAGTTCTATAAAATTATTCCTACAATTGTATTATGAAAAAAATGGTAACTTATATGCTTAGACATGTATTGGATGCACCATATATATGTATTTAATTTGACGAATGAAATTTAGGACAAATGATAATTTTAATTGAAGATACATAATTAAGCTCTAAACTAATGAAATTTGTGTTATTTATCCTATTTAATATCTTGACTACAACATTGAATTAACGAGAACCTATAATTTTTGTTGAGCGTACAACAAAAGTTTATAATTTCTTTTACCATAAATTTAGTTATTATATATTATATATTTACTTGAGATTTCAAACACATAAATTCTTAAACTTTAAACTGTAGATATTCTATCAATTTTTAAATTATCATCTGATATTTGTCCTTATAAGAAGTTATTTATAAAAATGACCTAGTAATGTAAACATTAATTATATCAGAAATGTCTACTCCCTCCCCCCATATTATGCCTAATGTTGAGGATATGCATGGGCAAGTTTCTTTGCTTTACTCTTTATTGTTGTTTTCTTTTTTCTTTGCGGGGTTACCTTATCTTTTGAAAAAATTATGCGAATAAATAAATATATACTAGTTAATTAGCTAATATAGTTATAATTTTAAATTAATTATTACTTGCACCCTCTTTAGTTATAATTACGTGTGCCTCTCTCCTTTGTTCATCTTTTGCTTCTCTCCTCTATTATACAGATAAAAATACAAATTATATATATATACATACATATATATATATATATACACATACATATAAATATACACACAATTATATAACATATATACAAATAAAATTCGTCTCCCTCCACTTCTCTTTCGCTTGAATCTCTCCTCCTTCTATCGATCTCGCTTTTCAGATATACAAGTACATATGTATACCACTTACATATAGACAACTATTTGACAGATATACATATACAATTCGATAGAAATACAAATACAATTCAACTCTCTGCCCTCTCTCCTCCTCCTCCCGATCTCGTTTGCCTCTCTCCTCCTCCTCCCAATCTCACTTGTCTCTCTCCTATCTCCTCTAACATGTAGTCAAAATCATAATTAACAAACTATAGCGTGATGAATTCTAATTTAAATATTTTTAGCGGCTGTTTAAGAAATTTCCTCTATCTTTTTTTTTTTCTTTCTCATTAGACTTTCTTTGCTCACGGGCTAGCTTCCTCTTTTCTTCCTTTCCTTTCTTATTTTCTTAACCAAAAAAATAATCTAATTAAAATATGTATATATCAAGACATCTATGACATGATCCAAGCTTTCCTCAATGGTATTTCCACATATATGCAATTAATTTAACATATGATGAAATGATTGTTATAATTATAGGAATTAATAAATAGTGAATTTGATTAATTTTTGTTCTCCATCCAGTCTTTTTTTATCATTTTAGTGTCTGATTATTTAAATTTAGATCGAAAAAAATCACTTTCGAATAAAATTTCAAAACTCAAATCCAAAAACTCTGCTTAAGAATTATGAATTTATTATGCACTATATAATTAAAAAAAATATATGCACTATTTTGGAAATAATAATTTCTGCATTGATATAAGTTTGATCAAATAAAATAGGCCTTGAAGAACAAGGAAGGTGATAAAAAATGTACGTCTTCTCACTACTCTATATTCAGGGAACATTAAACATAATTAAGCCCTAAATTAATTATGTTTAATATCTGGACTACAACACTGAATTAACGAGAACCTAATAAGTTTTGTTTAGCGTACAACAAATGTTTATAATTTTATTTACTGTAAATACCGCTATTCGCGCCCATTGCTAGGGCTCGAAAATACACAGGGAAGAAAAAAAAAACAAGGCAAGTGAGCAGGAAATCTATTCTTGCAATGATTTTCTGGCAGCATCTTCTTCTGCTTTCATTTTCCTTTCCCACTTTCTCTTCCTGTAATCAGCCAACATTTCAGGCATTTTTTGCATCAGTTCGGCTGTCTTTGCCCGTTTTTCTGCTGATATTCTGTTACACTTGTGCCCTTTCTGCTTCGTTCTCATTTCCTTTCTCGCTGGACCGTATGGCCAATCTTGTCCAGCAACAACAACTTCCTTGCGCAGACGAGCTCGATGGCGAGCACTCATCCCCAGAGGTTTCCAGGCTCCAAGCACCCAGTAACCCCAAACTCCCTTTGAAAGCTCATCCTTGTATTTTGCCAACTTTTCTTGCCATGGATATTGATATTGCCCAACTGCTTTTGCTACAGACTTTCCAGCCATTCGTCCTGGAAACAAATACATATAATATTTTTCTTTCACAAATTCGAATTTTAGACATGTAAGTCTATCAAGGCATACTAAAATGAGATGTTCAGAGGTTATCCAGAGAAAGTTCCAAGGTTATTACATGATTGTAAGAGGATGCCACAATCATATAGCAAATGAAAAAAATAAAGAGTTCGAAAATACAAGATTAGTCCCTCTGAAACAACCACATCAAATTTACAACATATTTCTGAACTGCAAATGACATATTGTTGCCAGAGAAAGTAAAGAGCGCACAAGACCTCCATACTTAAATTACTAGGATCAGAAACACTATTCTCTCTTCTAGTTTGCTAACACAGATGGCATTTGCTCTAGTTTTAAAGTTGCTCTCACCTTCACCCTACTGATTGTTTCACACTGTAGTGACTAGATATATGTTTTACATGAATGTATAACCAATACTGTTAAAGAACTCTAACAGTACTGGCTGTAAAGAAGAGGTTAGGGATTTGGATTGCAATCGTTGCTTCTATTTTGTGGATCTTTGTTTCAGAGAGAGATATCAATGGTGCTTTTTAGGAAAATTTGAGATTGCGTATTGTTAAAATACAATTGCTAGTAATTAGTAGCCATGTGATTTCATCTCAAAAAAGTACAAGAAGTGGATATCTTAACAGGCTGTCTAATTTAACTATAGGCACAGCTAAGAACTACATCTCTATACCTCTTTTGCACATTGCTATCATTATCTTACTTATCAAAAATGGAGTATTAGGACTTGTTGAAATAGATGATTCCAATTTTTTCTATGACATTCCATGTTGCAATACATGCATATATACAAATCATCGCATTTTATTTTACATTAAAATATCACACATATAATCATGACATTTGTCACTCGTAATCCAAGTCATTCGTAACACCCAGCGCAGAAGGTTTTCCCTGGTGCCTCAACAACTTGAAATACTTGTATTTGAGTTCTCTGTTCTTCTAGCAGAGATAAGGGTAAAAGAATTTCTTGTAACAAAACAACCTCATGAAGGACCCAATGTTATGTGCATATTAATGTAAAATGTAGTCTAAACGAGGACGCAAGACCGGTATAAAGACCCGAAAACAGTTGTAGATTCTACATTAAAGCAAAAAATTTAGTACTAAATTTGCATACTTTTAAATTTCTAAATCATGATAGGTTCTGCATTATAATATTTCATTCACTTCTAAATATTCTTTTCGAGAACTCAAAATTGTAGCCCTTGAACCCATCTTTTTGGATGTGTACAAACGCAGATGCACAAAACAAAATTTTTAATGCAGACAGAATTGAACGTAGGATTTAATCCTGGATTAAATGAAGAATAACTTAAAGAGAGGGTGAAGAGACGATGCGGATGGAGTAGAGATGGTGAGAAGCTTGCGATGTTATATTGCAGGTTTCAAAAAACTAAAACCCTAACACTACTAAAGCCCAAATTTTTCAACAAACATTCACCTAATATAGATCATAGTAACATGTAAGCTGCAGGCAAAAAAAAGTTATTATGACAGTGAACATCGTTAAAACACATAGATGTAATACTATAACTACTTACCAGACATTTTCTCTTTTTGAATCTAATTACCAAATACAAGCCAAACCTGCCATAAACCATCAAAAATACAGTCAAAAACTGAAAATTCAAGCAGCAAAATTGATATCAGTCGTTTAAAATTCAAAATCGATATGATTCAACAGATAAACCCTTGAAATTGCATCCACATTGAAATGTCTGCAATTATCAGAGAATCGTACGAATACAGATATACAAAAAAAAAAAATGAATACGCAGATGCAAAAAACAACATAAAGATTCAGTGAAGAATGACTTACAGAAATAGCGATCCGAGTGCAGAGCTTGCGATATGATACTGTAGGCTTCAAAAATCTATAACCCTAACACTACTCCAAGCCCAAATTCATCTTTATGGAACACGGCCCATAACTCTCGTTATATTTAAAGGATTTTACATAACAAAATAATGTTAGAAAAAAGACATTATGTATGTATTTCAGCATAAATATTGATAATATAAAAATAATCAGCTTTTTGTTATAAAATCAAGCTCATTGCAATATAAATATAAAGAAATGAAGACAAGAGAAGTAAGATGGAAGATAAGACTTTCTTCTTATTCAAGTGTATTATACAAAAGGTGAATGATATCTCTATTTATAGAGTTGAGATATCATCTCAAAGGCCTCCATGATAAATGCTCCATTAGTAGGTACATAGTTATCCAAATGGTTCTTATCATCTTGGAAACATGTATACATGAATACAATTAAGTCTTGAGTATATCCAAAGGACAATCCACACAATTCAATGGATTTATAACACTCCCCCTTGGATGTCCATAGATAATGTGCCTCGTTAAAACCTTACTAGGAAAAACCCTGTGGGAAAAAATTCTAGTGAAGGAAAAAGAGTACGCATATCTTTTGATACACACTATTTGTTGCCTCATTAAAAAACGAAAAAACCTCGGTCAAGGAAAAAAGAGTGCAACGCGTAGTATACTCCCCCTGATTAAAACATCACTTAATTTCTTGTGATGATGTCTCCAATACATTGTGGTTGGTATATTCTTTTTTAAAGAAAAACCACACATTTCTTGAATATGGTGTGTCATTTATCTCAACCAAACGCACTTTCGACTTGCTTCATGGAGGACTTTTATTTCTGCATAGCAACATTTGTTTGCTTCATTGATCGCCAAGATATTATTGTGCCTCCACATGCAAACACATAGCGTGCTTGAGATAGAGCTTTATGCAAATCAGATAAATATTCTACATTTGCGTAACCAATCAATTTTGTCTTGGATTCCTCGGAATAGAATAAACCCATAACTACGGTCCTTCGAGGATATTCAATCATGTGCTCAACACCATTTCAATGTCCTTTTATCGGGGAGAAACTGAATCTTGCAAGTAAATTTACTGCAAAACAAATATCTGGTCAAATATTGTTAGTAAGATGCACTAGTGCCCTGATTTCACCAAGATAGAGTTTCATCACTAACAAACTCTTCATCCTTCTTTTGAGATCAAACCGAATCATCATTTATGTCAAGTGATCTCACAATCATTGGGCTACTCAATGCATGTGATTTATCCATATAAAATTGCATCAAAACTTTTCAGTGTGTGTGCACTGTTAGACAAATATTTCATTTGTCAAATTATCAATCTGTAGGTCAAGACAAAATTTTGTCTTACCAAAACCTTTTCATAAAAATACAAGGACAATTAGGGTCATTCTTTTGTACCCTTTTTCTTCCTTGACCATTTCAATCTATATAAGGATTCTTGAAGCTTTATTGCAAAAGTTTCTTTCAAACTCTTATATGCTTCAGACACCTCGATTGTTTCAAGGATTTTCATATAACCTTCATTGTCTAGCTAGACATTAAAATTATTCATTACATGCATTCAAGTTTTTCATATGTTGCCAGATCAAAACAAACCTCATTGCATCCA